GATTATACTTACAGTGTTCCAAGTACCCAAATAGATCTAAACAGCACCACCACTCCTCTCTAGGAAGGTTTAGAGAGAAACTGAACAAAAAAACAAGACATATGGTGCCAATCTTCTCTACGTACGCGTTGGCATGCTTGGTGGAGACTTCAATATATATAAAAGGGGGTTGCTACATGTTCTTGCTTAGTGGGAAACTTTATGACCAACGGGGAAAAGTTTCACAACAAGTATAGTGTTTTGTCTTCTTTTTAACATTTCCACAATATAAAGTGGTGTGAATATAAGAGCCGAGGGCTGTGGAAAATTAGTACTCTGGGACCGTGTTTGGTAATTAGGATTGAATTAGAATAGGAGATAGGATTGGAATTACATTGGACTGGAAATGATAAGTACTCTTTATTAATTGGCATTAGTGTTTTGATTTCGAGTATGGGCTGGTCCTGGTCTTATGTATCCCACTTTCTTTTTTTTTTTTTTTTTTTTTTTTTTTTTTTTTTTTAAATTATATTACAATCTTTCATAAAAAAATGCATGAATTAATGGTGAGATTATCTTTTGTCCTATATCTATATTCATTTTTATAGCACTAAATATGGTTTTAAGGGTTTTGTGGTTGGGTTTTAGGTTTGTCTGTTTCGTATAAGTTGTTTGACTCTTCTGTTTAGTCAATAGTATGGGTGGTACTCTTTCCTACTATAGAATTTTGTTTCTATGGGAAAGTTTTAACGAGACTATCATTAACATGCTAGTTTTTACTATGTAATGTTCCTTTCTCTATATAAAAATAAAAAACACAGCTAATATCCAATACCCACCAAACCAAACGAGAGGCCTTGGAGGGTTTGACTATATAGTTGAGCCGGTAGATTGAATAAAGATAAGACGATACTATATGGCCAGTGGCTTCTCCACCGAGAGCCAAGAGACAAAGAGGGTGGACCAAAGCTTATTATAATTGACACTGGAAACTTGTGTGAAGCTTCCTCAGTTTCTAGAATAGTTCAATAGTAGAAGAAGACAAGCTACCGAAAAGAAATGTAGACCAGGAATAATTCAAAAGTAGAAGTGATATGTGAAACAATCAATTGAGAAATTTTATCATGTATATTCTTTGGGCGGTGAATTTCCCACTCCTCTTTTATCCACCTACACTTTCTTTTTGTTTTTTTAAATATTTTTTACTATAAGATAAAATGGAGTGTAAGTGAACAAAAGATGAGTGAAAACATATAATTTAAAAAAAAATGGAATGTAAGTGGATAAAAGGAGAGTGGGAAAATCAGAACCCTATTCTTTTCTTTTTTTTCTTTTTTGGGTTGTTAGACCTACATCCAAAATGATTAGTTGTCATTGGGTATAGTTTACGCGTTGTTCGTTTTAGATGTAGGTCCTTTGACTTTCATTAATTTTTTTGTGGTGTCGATTTTAACCTTTGAGGTAAATACGGAAAACACATTGAAATTCCAAATTTAATGCATTATGCCGTTGTAATTGAATTACAGAATTTAAATTTTACATTAGTTCCTTCATAATGTCTACCTAATATATGGATAAAATCAGGCACGGACCTATGAAGTGTACAACCTGGGCTATAGCCCAGGTGAGATTTATTTATTTATTTCTTATAGTTAGTGTTAATGTTAAGCCCATTCAGAGCATAAATAGCAATTAAACTAATTGAATAATTGTATTGTTACCTCTAGTTGTTGTGTGTCTATCTGACTCTATCTTTGTGATAAATTTTCTTTTTTGAATTTTCTTTTCTCTTAATTCATTTTTGTTCATCATGGTAGACCTTAGCTGGCATTGTTGGTGTAACATAGGCCTTTTAAACAAATAAAGTACAATTTAATCATGGAAAGTAAAGACCCACATATTCCCAATGAATAATGCTATCCTTACCACATTTGTATATCACATTCACATACCACTTTTATGTGACAGATGAGGCGGACATCCATATCAATTAAAATTAATTTAACATTTTCTTTTCTTTTATGATTTATTGATACTTTCTAATTGATGTGACTGCCTATTTCATCTGTCACATAAGGTGGTATGAAAATGTGGTATACAAATATGGTAAGAGTAGCATTACTCTATACCACCTCCTTAGACAAATTTTAGGGAGGATTTGAAAAAATACAACTTCAACCATGCCCCCTATCTACCTCCTAAAATAGGGAGACTTCTAGGAGCTCCTAAATCTAAGGAGAGAGAAAGGACTACCAGTGGCTCTTTATAATTTAATGCTGCTTTATTTAATGAGTATTTCAAACATTTAATTAATGCTAATTATTTTTTATATTATTTTTTAATAGAGATGGACCAATTAAAAAAGAGTTATAGCATTTATGACTCCCTAAACTAGAGAGCATGATTAGAGTTTAAATTTTATAGAAAGCTCCTAAAATAAATTATATATATTTTTAGCTAAAATTTAACTAAAAAATAAAGAACATGATTGTGGATGCTCTAAGCACCCACATGAAATTATGTACCTATGCATGAGTTAATGTGTGAATCTCATTAATACAACCAACAATAAAAAATGCCATAATGAAAGCAAAACAAAGACATGGAAAAATGGAGAAAGAAAAAGAGCCAACGTTTATATGCATAATGCAACTTCTTAATTTGAAATTAATATAATGCTATTAATTTTGATCATGAATGCAATTAATTGAATGGAAAAACTAAAAAAGAAACAAGCAATGAATTATACAAAATCATTATAGTCAGAAGCAATTAATTTTTTAATTAATACCTTAATTTGTAATTTTATGTGGCAAAATAGTCAAAGGACTTAAATCAAATAGACAAAATACGAGGATTACATCCAACTATTGTTATACCTTTTGGATTTATCTCAAATTATCTTCTTTTTTAGTATGGAGGCAATACAAGAATCCGTTTGAATTCATGGATTTGATTAGGTAGATTTGGATTGAGGCCCAAATCCAAATCCTTTCCATCGTTTTGGACTTATTTTAAATTTGACCCAAATTTTCATAGGCTCAAAAGTAGAACATCTAAACTAAGCATTTGAGAGGATTTCAAGCTTTTAATTTTTTTACATGTGAGAATGTGAGTTGAAAAAATAAAAAGGGAATAGACGGGGAGATATGAGAAAGAAAACTATTTCAATAAATTTTACATCTTTAGATATTTATAAATATAAAAAAAAACAACAAAAAACAGAGAGGGCGGGATGAGAAAGAAAACCAGGGGGTTTGTTTGTTGTACGTTGTCCGTTGTGGTTTTGAGTTAGCATACTGTATACTATACATAGGGGGCGCATGAGGGCAATTCAGCTTATTTTATTTTATTTTTATATTTAGGCTTTTTAGTGGCCATATCCTTGTATTTAGACCCAATTTGCATTTTGGTACTCTAATTAATTCACAAAATGGCTTATTTAGTTCCTCAACTTTATCTTCGTTAGCAGTGTTAGTCATACTATCACATTTGTAAAATTTTCTAACAAAATTTAGTTGGGGGGGTCAACTTTAAATTTTTTGAATTAAATTTTAATGAGATAATGTATTGAGGAAAGAAGTCAGGTAAATCCTAACAGAGAAAATCCAAACAGAAAATCCTGATTCTAATTAGAAAGCACTAATAATGAGGGCACGTAATTAACAAAGCCCAAAATTTGTTACATTGCATTTGGATAAAAACAAACAAAATTCGCCTGGAATTTATTTGGACAATATTTTTGGTGTAATTAGAAGTTTCCAAATACTATCCTAGATTCGTCGTCGTGACTTGTAACCAACGGGCCCAATTGCGCCAACGAAATATTTCCCTTGAATCCAACGGCCAAGAGCTTCGCTTGTCGATCTTACTCGGTCCATCCTTTATAAACCCACACAAACCCACAATAGTAGCCCAATACCACAAGCAACCACCTGTTTCTCTCTCCTCTCTCGTCTTCTCAATCTCTAGAAGAAGCATTTGCTCGGTAAGCAATTTTTCCCCAATATTTATCGGCTCCTTTTTACTTGCAATTTTAGGGCTTGTGATCGAGTTCCCTAGCATTTTGATCTCAGTAAGTTCACCTCAAGTGTGTGGTTCTGATAGATTTTGTTGGATTAGTTTTCGTTCCATGTACATTATGCTCCCGATTGTTGCCGTCAGGTTAAATTTTCGAAGTAGTTGATTTAGGGTTAATATGTCATTCAGTACCAGCTCCTGGATTTGTAATGAAATGCGAAGCTCCAGGAGTATTTATAGTACCCTTTGTTGCATCCGGTTCTTTAGTTTTATATTGTAGTCTTTGGAAAAACCTTTTCTGGGTATAGTTTTGAAATAGATTTTCTTAGAATGGATGATGCTATAAAGGAAATATGGTTGCCCGTGAATGCGTAGTTCATTCATTAAGGTTCTGTTTAGTGATAGATCATAAATGGTCAGACTATTGTTAAACAAGATACCCTTGTTCTGTTTTTGTTAATTATACAATGTACATTTTCAAGAACAAAATCTTGGAGATATGCGTGAAACAGACCCTGGCATTTTGCATTTCCTTTTGTTATGCTATTTTTCTTTTGTGGGACGGGATGAGGGTTGGGGGTTGTCGTTGGTGTTGATCGTTAATGGGTCTTACTGAATTCTTGTACCTGTTATATAACGTATATTGGACACAAAAGGGGTCCTATGTGTAAATTTTATTGGATACTCCATGGTTTTGTTGTTACTCAGATTGGGGTACAATTGAGAGCATCATACGGTGCACATTCAAGTTAATTAGGACTTGACTAAAAGCTACTTATCAATAGATTTAATGGTTCTATTATCAATTTAAATCAATAATAAAATTGGGGTTGGATAAGATAATTTATGTTATTGTCATTGGTTTACTTTGTTTTTTGTTTTGTTTTGTTTTGTTTTGTATTCCAGAACTTATATAACTCAAAACCACAGTTATAGGAATAGAAGATAGAGGAGCATTTCCTTATCTATAATATCCTTTTCAGGAAGGATAATCAACTCCAATGGCGTCAAGGATGGCTGCAAGGTTTGTTACTCGGAGGCTGTCAAGCAGTGGAAAAGTGCTTAGTGAGGAGGAAAGAGCTGCAGAGAATGTTTACATTAAGGTCATTTATAAAAACCCTAGATATATTCTCTTATGATTTTCCTTTGAACTGTATTGTTGTTGTTTTGTGTGCATTTGTATGTATTTCCTCTTAGATTTAGATAACTATTGAGGTTGATGACCATTATTGGATGAAGGAAAGGTCTTTATCTAGGAGCTGAAACCTATGTAAATAGTTTGTCTGGGGAAACTTAAAATAACAAACTGATTAAGAATTTATTTAAATATTTGTAGGAATGTATTAGGTCAGTAGGAATTAGTAATAAACAAATGTGTTATAGAACTATATCATGTACCGTATTATTGTTCATAAAGCTGGAACACACTTTTAGTGTCAGCTGCCATGTTCAAAGAATAATAGATAAGTCCATCCAAGTACAAGCACATGTAATGAAGAGTATTTTTTTAATGTTATAAATGCAATTTACACATGTATTTGAAGGTTCATAGTGTTTGAGTATCGGTCACATGATTAATGTATTAGGTGTCTGTCTTTTAGAATTTCTGAAGTGAAAGAAGTTCGTGTGATTTCTTGCTTGTATGTAAAGCATGAGTTGACTTGGAGTGATTCTAATATACCTTTGGTGCAATACCAAAGGCCGAAGTGAGTCCAGATCTCCCTGTTCATCTATGCTTTATTTGGTGCAAAAGTTTTATCACCAAATCATCTGAAATTTAATTTCATGAATATTGTTTTTTCCTTTTTCTTGAACTTGTGCATCTGCTTGTGAAGTGTAGCGAATCTAGGCAGTAACCGATCATATGTGATAGATCTCTTCCGTTGGTTGTTTTCTTTTCTGCTTGCTTAGCGTCATAGCCTCATAGGCTAATCATTCTGGATTTGGTTTCCACAATGGTTGGTCTGTTATTCTCGAAATACTTTTATTTATTCTAAAATCTGAATTATGAAATCAATGTGGGGAGGTATCTCTGTGATCATTAAAAATGATGACGAGTCCGATCTAATTCCTTTCTTTCAATTGTGACGACAATCGAGGCATTTTTCTGAGAGAATATTACCTACTTTTCCTATGAGACCAATTCCCATTGTTTCTATTTATTTCCAAGTTTTATTTTTCTGGTTTTCAAATAATTTTTCCATTCATTTTTGGGATAGAAAGGCATCTGCTGCATCAACAGTTCAATATCTTGATTTGCTTCTGATTCTCCTTTGATTTTGTGCTTGAGTTTTGATGATCCTGATGCATACGTTGAAGGAAAAAAAATTCTTGATGAAGATAAATGTTTAGATGATTTGGTGGTAGAAATTTTTGCTCCATAGGGGCTTTGATGGGTTTCTCCATTTTACTTTTTCTCTTAGAAAACCTGGTTTCTGTAGTGGTTTACTGTATGGCCAATGTCTTTTTACTGTTTCAAATATTTAGAATCGTAGAATCTCATTATATGTGATCCTACTGCTGTGGTGTCAGTCCAGCACACTTGAAAATTTGGTGTTTCTGCTAGTGAAGGACGTTGTATACAGATACATATAACTATGTAGAAATATGTGCACTCATACTTACATGTATATGAAGTGTGGATGAGGGTTTCTATCTGTCTGTTTACTTATTGTATATGCAATGCTATTGTGATATATCTTCTCACTGTTATTGTTTTTGTTTTTAATGCAGAAAACCGAGCAAGAGAAGCTGCAGAAGCTTGCACGTAAAGTATGAACACAGTTTTTACATTTCATGTATTTTGAGATTTAAGTAATTTTAGATGACCACACTTTAGAATGTAAAGCATTCTTCATTGTTTAAGCAGCCAGAGTTGGCATTCAGAAAATTAAATTACTTTTGAGGGCTTTGCATAGTGTTAAATGAAGGTTGTTAAAATTGAAAAACAAGATAATACAACTATGGGATCATTCTTTTCTCTACAAATAATGTTTTTGTGTGTTGTTCCTTCGGGAACACCCGATAAAATTGGAAGACCATATTTTACTCAGCTCTTCATTTTGCAACTTGAAGTGTCCTAGTCAAATCTTAGCAGCTCAAGTTTTAGTGTGGTCTGGTTTGCTGGCGTATTGATTATTAGTTTACATGTCTGATCACATATTTATCATTGCGATCACCCAATCAATTGTGGTTTATATGTTCTGGTCAATTTTTTTTCTTCCAGCCTTCTGGATGTGGTTCAATATCAAACTAGTTCTTGGTTGGGATTGTCATGTCTCTGCTACAAATGCTATGCTCAATTATTTGAACATTTTCAGGGCCCTAAACCAGAAGAGAACCCAACTGAAAGCTCAGGGGGCTCGATATCTGATGCCAAACCAAGTGGCTCTACCTCTGGAGAATCAACTGCCAAAGTATCCACTGACAAGTACCGGAATTATGCTGTGGTAGCAGGTGTTGTAACTGTTGGTGCTGCTGCAGGTTGGTATCTCAAATCTAGTGGAAAGAAACAAGAAGTGCAGGACTGAGATTAGTGTGCTTTGGTATGAACAATTGAAGCATCAGTTGTCATAACACTTTCTGGTTAGCATAGAAATAAATCAAACTTCAAACCGTCTCTGTTTCTGGCGGATATGTGTTGTGTTGAGTTTTTGTTATTACCTTTTCTGTTTTGGGAAATATATACATAATGGAAGGTATTCTGCAGCTTTCAATTTTCCAGTGCGGTTGTTCATTGCGTTGTAAGAGGGTAGCAAATGGTTTTTGTTGATTGACGATTGTGTCAACAGGTGAGACTTTTCACTTGGGCTTAAGGAGAGGCTTGAGCCCTAGTTGTGCAAAAGGAAGAAAACGCTCCGCATGGAGGAATGTGTTAGGTTGTGATTTGTTAGCATGTAGCAAGCCATGGCTCTTTATCTGTAACGGGGCCAAGCAGTGTTCTTGATGGAATGATTTGCTGCATATCTTAGGGTTTGTTTTTTCATAGTTTGCAGATGCCTTGCAGTGCAAATATTAGGAATCTAATTGGTGAACTAGACTTAGACTAGCTCCAATAGCAAATTGACTTAGATTACGCATTCTGCAGCTTTGTTAGTAGCTGTCTTTCATATAATTCATCTATAGTTACATGTTACATGCATGTGACATTGATATTGTCGTAATTTTAAGTTCACTGGGCTGAGTTCCAATTTTTGAAATGTAAAACTGATATGAGCAGTTAAGCGCCTTAAAAACTAACCACCTTAGAAATAAGATTTATCGTCAACTGTGCGAAAAAAAAAGAAGAAAAAAAAGGGACTTATCAAACCAAATTATATTAAAGAATTTATTTATCATGCAACAATATCAACCTATAATTTAGTAACAATATCATTGCCAATTGATTTTTCAGTGGAATTTATAATTCATTACATAAAAAAGCATATATGTACGTATATTTTTTAAGATATTATGTTCATATATAAGGGGTTTGTAGCTCAAACGGATAAGAGTATTTACCATTGTACTCTAGGTTTTAGGTTCGATTTTCTCTCCCCAAAATTTAGGTTCGGTTTTCCTCTCCTCGAGTATTACTTGAGGAATATTAACATTCACTTGTGTATATAAAAATAAATAATAAATAAATCATATTCATAGTAGCACTAGTGAATATTAACATTCTTGTATACATGACATTCGATTTTCTTCAGCATTTATCAAAGAGTGAACCAATGTTTGTAGGTATGTTGCAATTTTAAATTATAAGGACTGCTATTTCCACTTCTGTCTTATTACCTTTTTGTAAAACGACTTCTAAGGATTTAGGGAAAAAACCTCAACTTATGTAACCCACCTATTCTACTATTTGACAAAAAAAGACTTAAAGATCCAGAAAATCAAAATGTTGGACTAAAATATTTATCCACTGCGTCAAACACAACTTGATTCTCTTCATATCTTAATTACTAATGATTAGGAAATAACTTTCTTAAGTTAATAATTAAATAATATTTTAAGAATAATAGTAGGTGAAATGATAGAATTATGTTTTTTCAAATTTACATGGTTGCTGGGAAAATAAAATAGATGGGAAAATGAAGACAGGTTGGAAATAGCAGCCAAAATAGACAAAATTGCCCTTATTTATTTTTGGATTTCCTAAGGAATCCTTTACATTTGCATGTCTTTGATTTGAAAGTTGAAAGGTTTTTCTGTCTTTTTTGAAAAAGCTTTGGCTTTTCTAAAAGTGAAATTTTTGTTGTTGCTAAAACCTAAATTTACTTTAAAAAAAACATGTATCGGTTCGTTGATCGGTTTGGTTTGACAGAATCAAAATGGTCGTATTTTAAAAGAAAGCGAAGTCGGGTTTTAACAGACCCCACTTGCTCGCACTCTCTCTCTTCTTTCTTCTTCTCAGTTCCTCAGCAAGAGTGTAGTTTGCAGAGAGCAAAATGGAGAAGGATAAAAGGGAGGTGATGGTCTCAGCTTTGCAATTCGCTTGCACCGATGACGTCGCCACTAACGTTGCAACCGCGGAAAGGTCTCTTTTTGTACTTTCTTCTTTCTCTTCATTCATCTAATCTTGTTAACATCATAGGCTAAGCGAGCATAAGCAGGGCCTGTTATTTGATCAATGAAAATTTGCTGAATTGAAAGACCCTTTTGTTAAAGATTGCATTTTGAACTTGTTATGTGCATTTCTGGAACTGAATAACCAAACCCAGAAAGTTATCATCTTGTTTTCCTTGAGTGAGATTTTTGCACTGGATGAATTTCTGGGTTCTTCCTCTTTTTGCAATCTTCCTAATTATTTCCAGTGTTTCTCCTTGTTTTTGGGGCCAGAAAATTACTCTAATTGTATAATCGTATGGGTTTGTTTGTTTTGCCATTCCTCTCAATTTGTCCAATACCGTCCACCATTCCATAAGAGTAAAAGTAAGTGGTTGTTGCGGATTTTAGTCGCATTAAGGCTGATTTAAGGTATAGTTTGCTTGCTCTGGATAATAATCTTTTGTTCAATTCATCGTTGAACTTTGATCCAGTGAAGTCTCATTAAATTACTCGAGAGTAAACATTTGAACATGATTGTGTGTCTGTTGATGAAAATCTAATGATTAATATGAAATGTCTTGTACTTACTTGCCCTGTGCTTTTGTTCTATTAACAGTTTGATTTTGATCAAATCTAATTCGAGCATGGCGTGTGTCTCATTTGATTACTTAAAAGTATGCATCTGAACGTGCAATGAACTATTACATGGAAAACTGTTTGTGCTTATCCGAAGTTCGGAAGGAATATTTTTGTTAGTGTTTTAATTTGGAAACTCTTTTTAGTCAAGAAGATGGGTGTGTGAGTGTTGGGTTTAGTCCAGGAGAGTGAGCCGTTTGAACTTGGGTTGTGACACTTTATTTGAGATTAAATAAGCATAATGTTTTTTTTTTACCCTTTAAAAATTATATGGAGTTGGATCTAGTTGGGGCCTAATTTAAACTAAAGAATTGAGGGTTCGAAGTTGTTCCGTCAACTGGTTCTTCTCAGGCTGGGCGTTGCCCTTATTTTTAAAGAAGTCATCTTGTTAAGTGGAATTCATTATCTATTTTCATTCAGGTTGGTTAGAACTGCTCATGCAAAGGGTGCAAACATCATTCTTATACAGGTATGACACTTCAAATCTGGAAGAAGTTTCTTTCTAGGTCTATAACTCATAGTTTTGTTTTCATTTTGATATGCTCATACTGATACATCCTCAAAGTTATTATGATTTGATATTCCAAATTCCAAATTAGAGTTATATATGCAAAGTTCAACGTGAGCCTAAAAGGTGGAGAGCAAGAAGCATTGTGATTAAAGTCTAAAATTGTTCTTTTTTTTTCCATGGCACTTATGATTGAATGCAAATTGTGATAGTTTATATGTTGTCTTTTCTTTTGATTGGTGCTGGATTGTTGCAGGAACTTTTTGAGGGACATTACTTCTGTCAGGCACAAAGGGAGGACTTCTTTCAGCGAGCAAAGCCTTACAAAGATCATCCAACAATTCTTAGGTGAAAGCATTGGGAAATAGCCTTTCAATTTCGGTTTGATCTTCCTAGATGTCCTCATCCTGGATTCTGCATTGTGCTACTAACATACCAGGAGAACCTTTAAAAAGAAAAATGAAGGGAAAAAAAATTAGGTTCTTAATTGACTTGGGAACACTTTTTGGGCAGTAATGCTTATGTATTTTATTGCATGCTCTGTAGGATGCAAAAAATTGCAAAAGAGTTGGGTGTGGTAATACCAGTTAGCTTCTTTGAAGAGGCAAATAATGCCCATTACAACTCAATTGCCATTATTGATGCTGATGGGGCAGATCTTGGACTTTATAGGAAATCCCACATCCCAGATGGACCAGGTATTCAAGTTGCATAATGTTCCTCTTATTTGATCTCATCTTGTAATTATGATAAAAGCCACTATTTTTCTGCTGCAGGCTACCAGGAAAAGTTCTACTTCAATCCAGGTGACACTGGATTCAAGGTGGGTGCTTAATACAATTACAATCTATGTATAATGCTGTTTTTGGTTGATTCTACATTGGTGGTGATTGATGATGTAATTTTGTTGGTAAGCAGGTTTTCAAGACCAAGTTCGCCACAATTGGAGTTGGTGAGAAAATTTGAAGTACTTGCTTCTTGAGTTTAGATGAATTTCTTGGGGCAACAGCTGCCCAATTCAAAAGCTGGCATATCTTCAATATTGTCTGTGGTTCATTGAACTCTGCAATCTTTATCTGTTAGATAATAGAAATCATGTTGAGAATAGTGGCGTGTATGTTGACCAATGACATTTTGTGGGAAGACTGGAAACTTATTCTGCTAGTACTTCATTTCATGTCAGCAATTTGCTGGGATCAGTGGTTTCCTGAGGCAGCCCGATCTTTGGTTCTTCAAGGTGCAGAGATATTGTTTTACCCTACTGCTATTGGTTCTGAACCTCAAGATGGAGGACTTGATTCTAGGGATCACTGGAGGCGAGTAATGCAAGGGCATGCTGGGGCTAATGTGGTAAATATCTTAAGAGTAGTTTGGCTACTTTTTGGATTTAGAAAGTACTTCAGTTGGTTTAAAGTTAGCTTGTCTGTCTTTGTCATTTCAAGCAGCTTATGTCTGGAGTTGGGTTTAGTTTGTCTAGTCTCTAAACTACTGTCTTGGACCAATAATGGCCAATCAAAGATGCAATATATAAATCGGAACAAATTGAGAGTTTTTTTTTCCTATTGAATTGCTACCAAGAAAAAGTAATTAATCTTTGTTTGATGAATTTCAGGTCCCTGTAGTAACTTCAAATCGCATAGGAAAAGAGGTAATTGAAACCGAGCATGGAAAGAGTGAGATCACATTTTACGGTAACTCTTTCATTGCAGGTATTTTTCCTTACTTTTATTTAAAACTACCTTCAATAAACCAATCCTTTGTTGATTGAGGTGAATTTTAAGAAATACTTGGATTTGCATAATTTAATGTCCAGGACCCACTGGAGAAATTGTTGCAACTGCTAATGATAAAGAGGAAGCTGTACTAGTAGCACAATTTGACCTGGACAAAATCAAATGGAAGAGACATAGTTGGGGAGTATTCCGTGATCGACGCCCAGATTTGTACAAGGTGCTACTGACATCAGATGGCAGCAATTCCCCGTTGTGATGATGCCCCTTACCTCTTACTGCTATGCATGTTGTAGAACTAAGAAAGGAAGTACATCAAAATCCATCACTATCATGCACTAAATTTCAGAAGTACAGTGGTCCTACCCGGATTACTAACATGGACCTCAATGGCATGACTAGAAAATTTAGTACTTTAGAGGAAGAAATTATTTCAAGTGAAGCACTACTGGGTGATAATTTATAATTGGTAGTCTCTACACAATGGATTGTGTTAAATTCTTAATTACCTTGCCAAGTCAAACTTTTAAACCCTAAACCCTAGACTCATTGCATCCCGGTATCTAATTCCAATCTATTTCTTCAATGTATTTGCTGAGAATGCGATGTCATATTTCTTATTTAGTATGTTATTATATGGCTCAAGTCTTGTTGAACTTCATTTATCCTGGTTACTGTACTGCATTGGAGCAAGTTGGTTGCCCTCCCAGAGAATCCAGGCTCTGTTCCAAAGGTTCTATTTCTGGAGCACAGAAAGGTCTCGGCCCTGCGCTTCTATCAAAATTGAGTCAGTTTATGCTTGATGAATTAAGCCTCATAATCTCAAAATTAGAATAAAAAGGAAAAACTCTGGAGTATCATGGGTGGTGTAGGTATAAGAAAATTGGAATATGTTAATAATGGTGCTTTAGCAGAACTAGGTTGAAAAATTCTTTGGTGGGTACAAATCATTTCAAGGAAATATCTGAAAGTCTCTTTTTTGAAGTTCAAAGAAGTAATTATATTATTGTACGAAATTGGAATAGGGTTTGTTTGGGGAAAGTGAAGCCATTTTGTGCCTTTTGATATCCATAAAACAATTCGTGGTATTAATATTCCATCATAATGTAGAGAATTAGAGTTTGATTGGGGATCTTTACCTTCTATTACTTGTTCTGCGAACTCATATACAAATATTTTTTTTAATACAAGTGATATGGGTTGGGGGGGGGGGGGGGCCTTGAGACTACTGTTATGCAAGTGAAGTCCTTTTCTACTGTAGTTTTTTGTACCCAGTTTTGGTAAATGAACCAAAAATGGTTTACTTTTCAAAAGAATATTTTAAAAGGCTCTGGCCCAACAACCTTTCTCTATTTTCCTCAAAACCAAAGGACCCCCATTACTTAGAGGGCCGTCAGTATAAAAGAAGTTAGTCCAAGGCCCAAGAACAGGAAGCCCAGACTTTTGAGTCACACTAAAAATATCGGTAACCGTTATACATAGACCCATGTGAGGGTCTGAAGGAGGTTATCACCATTAATGACGACTTGACTCTCTTCTCGCCCAGCAAGGAAACAAGCTGTACGAAAGCCACCAGAACCAGAAAAGGACTAAGCTGCCAACCAAATCTTCAAGTATAAAGGGTTCAAGTCAGAGGATTATCATAAAGGACCAGCAGTTCTTGTCAGAAATGTTCCATCATCCCTCCTATGAACCAGTTCAGATCAGCGAATCGACAGCTGACTTCGGGCAGCAACCAAATATCCTTTCTCAGCCTCCATCATTGCAAGCTCTCTCCTTGCCTATAAATAAAGAGCTTCCGCCACAGAAGAAGGGGACTCTCTCTCCAAACTAGATGCAACGTCTTGAAAATACTTGAAAAACTCAAGATTTTTTCAAACCAGCCTGCTTAATTTCCAGATAGCTAGTTGACAACTCCTGCGTTCATCTTTTGTTGCTCTGCCATCTTCATGGTATTATTTTCTTTTAAAATGATCAATTGAATTCACGTAATCATCTAACTGGATTGAGAAATCTCCAGTCCTTCTTTGTTTTGTAATTTATGTTTGGATTAGTTAAAAAGAACCTTCGTCTTCCTCTTGTCATTAAGTTAAGATTAGATGAAGGGATTGCAGAATCCATTTTAACTTTTCATCAAGCATTTGTCATTTAATCGCTTACGTACATATATTATAAATTATTTCGGTACATAAATTTAATTTCCAGCTTTTGCACTTTTAAATTCATCATTCGAACCCAAAGGAGGCATCCGGGCCCGAATAGGGCTGTATTGGTCCAAGAGATAGGAAGTGGAGTCGAGCTCGAATTACACCATTAGGCCCGAATTGACTGTTGGCCCAGTCCAAGGGTTACACGAATTTCAAATCAGGTTGTTAAGCCCAAATAGGGTACTACTAACCACGATCTTGGTTTCTCCCCTTGCTTGATCAAGTATCGCTCATACTTATCAAGCTAACACACACGAATGAAAGAATGTTGAAGTCCTCTTAGTTGAGGCATGGAAAAGAACTAATCTAGGCCAATACCCTCCTTGGAGCACAATGGCTTGAGCAGAGGTCTAGAGAAAAAGTGCGAACATCACCAAATCAGCCCACTACACTCCCCCCACACCAGGTTTATTGGAATGGTCTCATATCTAATAGTGGCATGCCTACGCAACCCCACGAATCAGAGTCGAGATGAGTCGAGGGACAGGGCCCTACCCGAGCCTGCTCGATCCTGTCAAGCTGATTCAACTTTCAATTTTGTTCATAAGTTGGGAGAATTCTCATTGCGAGTCAACAAGAAGCATCAACCGGGGCATTAGTGTTGATCCAGCAACCTCTCCGCTCCTCTGAGCAAGCCGACCCCCATGTCCGGCAAAGGGAGCGCCTGACAAAAAAAATGACCAACAGTAGTAGACCCCATTAACAACTCGTCTACAATTAAATACAAAACATATTCATATTTATGTTGCTAAAATTTAGAAATGAAAATTAGCACCTAAAATTTAAATTTATACTTGGTTGTTTTTACAAAAATGTTGAAATACGAGAGATAAGATTTCACATTTTACAAAATATTCTAATATTTTCTCTTTATGTAATATGAAACCAAAAACTTTAAATTATATATATAAAGCATAAGTATAGAATGATGAAATATTCAAAATACCAAAAATTGCCATCGATTAATGAATTTATTAAGAATGAAAACTTTTCGTTAAATAGGGATAATAGAGTAAATTAACATTTTTAAATATTAAAAATTTTAGGGAATTTTGCACATATACCATGTGGACTATTAGGATTGTGCATTTACCACCCAAAGAAAAAAATTTAGCAATTACCACATAAACTTCTCTTCTAGTGCTAATCTGCCACCTCCATCCAATTCCGTTTAATTTCTGTTAAAATATTATAAAAACACCCCAAAATGTTCTCCAACCTCTCATTCCTCAAAATTTACCATGATTAATAAAAGGCTTAATTATTGTTTCACCCCTAAAACAGACACTCAGTCTCACTTTACTCTATGAAACTTAAATTTTATCACTTAACCCTAGAATCTGTAAAATTGATGAAATTTTCTCACTTTACCATTTCCGTCCACAATACCATTAAGTGTGCTGATGTGGCATGAACATTTTAGTACTTTTAGGGGTCGTTTGGTACGACGGACTGTCATGGATTGGATTAAATTCTGGGACTGTCTTGGATTAGCTCGGATTGGACTAAGTTAAATTAAGTACTGACCTACGTTTGGTGCTTTGTCGAATTAAGAAGCTGGATTGTAAAAATAGTGAAGACTTATGTTTGGTGTTGTGTTGGACTAAAAATAATAATTTTGATATTTAATTTTGACCTAAAAATAAACAAAAAGAAAATAAAGAAAATATTAATATTTTTTAATGACTAAAACTATCTTATCCTTTTTTTTTCTCGTTGTTCTCCTTTTTCTTTCTTCCTTCCTCTTCTCTCATTTGTTTTTTCTTCCCCCCCCCCCCCCCCCCCCCCTTTTTTTTTTTCTTCCTTCCCAAGCCGTTTCTTTTTTCTTTCTTCCTATTCTTTCCTTTGTCTTTTCTTCTTCCTTCCATCCTTTTCACTCTCTCTTCATGTTGTTGCAGATCCAATCAAACCATCAACCCACTCTCTCTCTCTCTCTCTCTCTCTCTCTCTCTCTCTCTCTCTCTCTCTCTCTCTCTCTCTATGGTTCCACTAATTAATGGTTGTGGTGGTTCGATTGGGTGGTGATGGTGGTTGAGCTGGGTATGTGGTGGTGATGATGGTTCGATTGACTGATTAGGTGATGGTGATGATGATGATTCGATTGGGTTTATGGTGGCTAGTGATGGATTTGATGGTGGTGGTCTGACGGTCTTGGCATCATGGTGGTGATGGTATGTTTGATGTTTCGGGCTTGTGTGTTTGATGATGGTGGTGGTATCCAGTTGGACTCGCGTGTTCAAAATAGCACCTACGCTATTTTGCAAACCACGTTTCGGGCTTGCTATATTAGACAAGCAAGTCCGATTTTTTTTCCCCATCGGATTATACAATCCTATTCAACTTAATCCTATCTCTTACCAAACATGGGTTTCAAGGACTATTTAACCCAGTTCAGTCCCGTGAGGCATAGTTATGGATGCCAAACATGGCTTTAGCTCCTTGTGTGAGATGAGTAATTGAAAATAAGATATGTTTAAAAAAAGTCTTAAAACTCAAAAAACCAAAAAACCAAAAAAAAAATCTCCTCAGCAATCGCTCCCCATCTTCTCTCTCAACAGCCTCTGCCCTATCCATACCTTCCCATAATGACAAACTCTCTGTCCTTACCCAACTAGCCCTAAAAAATGGAAGCATTAAGAGCACTTCCAGCGCTAGGCATTAACCCGGGTAAAAGGCCCCCCGAAGCCCAGTTTCGCACTCCAGCGCAGCACCTGCAGCCCAGGCAAGCCCTGGGTCCCACCAGCCCGGGCAAGCCTAAGGGCATATCTTGACTGGGCTGTTGCCCTCGAGCTGCTGACATCAGCATGACGTCAGCATCTGATTTTCAATTTTTTTTAATGTTGGACCCACCAGCCCACATTGCCCAATGGTTACAAGTCATGTGGCTTCTCCTGGAGCCTCCGATCAAAAAATCTTGCACAATCCAACGATTGTCCAATTTTTGGCTACAAAAAATATCAAAAAATTCTGAAATTTTTTTCTATACATACCTACCAATATTATTCACTTTCCACACCAATTTAATTTCAAAATTTCAATCGAAAATGTTATCTTGATTTTTAGGTGAGGATTTTACGATAAATATTAACACTTGGGAATTGAAAATCTTATCCGAAAAGCTTATCAAAATAAATGGTTTAAGTATAAAAAATAAAAAATAATTTTAAGTGAATAGTAATTGCCTTAGACTTGCCCTAGACTTAGCCCTCATGGGTGGAACTACAAATGGCAAGGCTGACACTATTCAAATGAATAGTGGCAGCCCTTGCTTGCCCTTTCCCTAGACTTAGCCCTTGTGGATGGAGATGCTCTAACAAGCTTGCAAATTGTAGTGGAATGGAGAGCCATAGAGAAAAAAATAAGAGAGATGAGAGAGAGGGGAAAGGGTGGGGTGCGATAAGGGTTGGGTCGGGGAGGGAAAGGGAGAGATGAGGGAGAGGCAGGGACTAGTCATACCAAATATAATTTAAATGAATACAATGTATTTTTACCTTCAAGGATCTTGATTCCATGTCCATATGAGCCATGACAAGGTTCATCTCAACTTATGTAATCATGTTGAATGCAGACTTAAACTAGCCTAAATTCCTTGAGCTTGAATAATTACATACAAGACTACAAGTTTATTTAGGAAAGCTAAAAGATTAGCGAAACAAAACCTAACATAAAGAGTTTAGCTATAGAGATAATTCAATGGCTTCAGGTTAGTGTTTTTAGTTGTTTATGCCTAATATTATCAAAATCAATTTGAATTAAATCGACACCATATTCGAAATGGAAAATGGAACTAGAGTTAGAGAAGTCAAAATCAAGAGCCCAATTGAGTGGATATATTCCTGAGGAAATCTACCAAGTGATTTAGGGAGGAAGAGAAAATAATACGCTCATTGGATATGAGGACGCTTCTTTTGAAAAGAAGTTAAAAAAAATTAATTGGTCACAAATATTGCAAATAAGACATGTGACGGCACCATGCCATACCACTTTATGGGTTTTAGTCACTAATTATTCAATTTAAACTCTTTATATTGACTAAATTTAAAGTAGTGAAACAACAAATTCACTTCACTTTTCAATTTCATAAGGCATACCCAAGTCATCCAGGTGCAATAATCAATAAAAATAACAAATCAGTGGGCGCCACCCAATATAGCAATCTTAGAAAGGACCCCAAACGTCAGAATGAATAAGCATAAACTGAAGCGAACTTTTATTCATACTTGGTGAAAAGGAAGTACGATGGCTTTTCGCTAGTTCACAAATGTCACAACTTAGACTAGAAACATCAAACTTCGAAAATAACTTAGGAAATATTTTCTATAAATAACGAAAAGAAGCATGTCCAAGACAACAATGCCATAACCATATTTCACATTCTTTATTCTTCTCCCCCTTGAGAGCCTTCCACAAACAAAGCTTGAGTCAATCGACCGGAGCTTTGTAATGTCAAATCCAAGTAGAAGAGCTTCCCTCACCTAACAACATAACCAATCGACATGCGAGTCCGGATGTCCTTGAACACACAAAAAAGAGGCCAAAAAATCACAATACAATGTAAGGCCACAGTTAGTTGAGCAACACACAAAAGGTAATCGTATCAACAAAAAAAAAAGCACACACACACGCACACATACAAAAGGTAATAGTCCAAGGAAGGAACAACAAGTACAATGTCTAAAGAAAGGTTATCAGTAAGGGATATGATGCCTTCCCTAATAACATGGACGACATTACCATTAGCAGTAGATACAACAGGTTGTGTGGAGGGCATTAAGGTTTGTTCCTGTCTAGAATCAAAAGTCATATGCTCTGTAGTGCCAGAATGAATTATCCATGTATTATTCAGAACATATGCAAAAACCTTTAAAAACTTACCATTGTTACATGTAGCAATGACTAAAGTATATGCATATTTACAAACATGTTCAGAATCATCCTTCCTTTAAGCAACAAATGCATGAGATTTGTTGTACCTAGGATCACGGTTCTTGTCTTACCATTCAGGATAGCCAATAATTTCATAACAGTGTTTTTTTAAAATGCCTGGTTTGCCCACAAGTAAGGCATTTACAATCATTCGATGGGCGAGATGAGCAATCAACGTTGTGGCTGGACCGATCAGCCCCTCCATCATTGGTCGGAGAAACCCAGTTTTGGCAGGCTCGGGTGTCCTAGCCGATCTAGTTCTAAAAAGGATGGCATGCCACCATCACCGTTGCTTCTGATTGGTCAACCTCGCTTTTCAAGGCTTCCTTCATGTCAGCTTCATGACGAACATAAGCATAGGATTCTTGGAGCCCAAGTACAGAGTCTTTCCTCAAAATTTATCCTCGAACTTGATCAAACTCGGCATCCAACCTAGCCAAAAATATATGAACTCTTAGGCATTCAATTAACTTTGCATGTGCCTTGATATCATGGTCACAAGACATAACCACCTTATCGCAATGATTCAATTCCTGAAAAATTGCAATTAGTTCCCAAAAATAATTTGTCATGGATTTTCCATTATATTAGGTAGTAAACACCTTTTGATTCAAGGCAAACAAAAGAACTTCATTGGTTTCATCAAAGAATGTCGTTCAAAGGGCATCTCAAATCTCCTTCGCCTTCTTCAGGTGGATGTAATGCTTCATAATTTCTGGTGTCATGCAGGTCAACAACCTCCTACTGCTACTACGTCCAATTCAACGAGAACTCTTAACTTCATGGTTTTCAACATACCACTTGTCGTACTTGGGATCTGTGTCGGTGGGTACTTTATCTTTGCTACAAATATACTTTTTGTCTCATTGTGATATGCATCTTTATGAGTTGAGACCACAAATCGTAGTTCTTCTTGGTGAGAGTAATTCCGACATGGAACATAGTATTGTCAAATTGAACAACGACGGAAGTAGTGTTAGAAGCGGCAGCAGATTCTTCTTCCTTGGCCATTTGCAAGAAACTGAAAGTTCTAAGGAGGAGGATGAGTGGTGGTAGAGTTGATGTGGAGTAGGTGTGTGGCTGGGTTATGCGCACAGGTTGGGGGTGCTGCTATGTGATATAGGTCAGTGCGGCGGCTGCGGAATTCTTGCAACGACAGTGCATGATTATGCAGTTCAGCTATGCTTAATATTGTGCTGCAATGTCGGTGTGTTGGGTTCTAGCGGTGGCAACGCTTTGAGTTCGTGTGGTGGTGGTGCAGTGGATTTAGTTAAGGGTTTTCCTTTCTTTCTTCAATGCAACTCTGGTGCCAAGAAGAAGAATACTATTTGGCTAATATTATTTCATAATATTCATCTCACAATGAGATATATATAAACCTTAATCCCGCTAGGAAACGTCATATTACAAATAATTACCTTAGATACAATACGAAAGTTAACATTCAAAGCTTCGAATATCAGGTGTAAGGTACATATTCTTAATACTAGAGCAATAATACCTACATATATTCTCCAAATCTAATAATCGTACTTGTAAAGGAAGCGAAAAGTTTCAAATATAATATAACAACTACCATAATAAGCACGATTATAAATTAAGTCATGGAGGATTGAGAACACATATAGGGGATAAGGTCGCCATCTCGTATGCAAGAAGGGCTGTTACATCAAAATTAGGGTTAAGGTTTCATCTACGTTGCTCGTCTCTCTCTGACTTTGATTGGGATCGTGTTGGGGTGTCTTCTCAGCATGGTGGTTTCCATTAGGTTTTGTCGGCATGGGTTCTTCCTTTGCATAGACAAAATCTCATCTCCCCTCTTCTTCGATTAGCCCTTCATGTTTATCGGGTGGGCTGCTCTCGGTTGTTTCAGGGACTTGTGGCCAATTATAGCTCCTAATTTGTCTAAGGGGTCTGTCGATAAGGTACGGAAGTAACGTTAGCAGAGGGTTTTGGGTGAGGGTTGTACGTGGGCCGGTGTTGCGAGATGTTGGCAATATATACAAGGGATCTAACAGAGGTTGGGTCTGGGTTTCTCCTTGGGTTGTATGGATCTATGGCGATTTGGGTTCCTTGGTTTTGCCTTTCCTCTTCCCGGGGTTGAGTGAGACCCTCAACGGCTAGGGATTTGGGGAGCTATCTTTGTCCCCATATTTGTGATTTTGCTTGATTTCTTGGTGCTGGGGATTGCAGATGATAGAGCCCTTGATGATCTTGAGCACTCTTTTGGGCGCAACCTAGTGCTCATGGATTCGTATAGTGAGCATAGTATTTCCCTTGAAGTTTGTGCTTATCAGGTGATGAAGACTAGCCTAGAGGGTCCTCCCAAGTCTCCCTAATGCGTTTGCTGGATTGTTTGCAAGCTTGGCATCCGATAAACGTTCCTACTCTGAGGATCTTCTATTGGAAGTTCATCTTACTAAGAGGCCACTCTTGATCCCCCCCTTGCCTTGTCAATTAGGAGTCTAGATTAAGAGATAAGGAGTTGGTTTTTGGTGCTTATGTGGGCTCTATGCTGACACTCACTGGTTTGCACTGTACAAAGAGCTATGCGTGCATAGGAATTTTCTCTTTGATTGTGGTGAGATGCTCTTTGTTGGGCTTGTAGTTGTGCTTGGTTTTGTTTGGATTTGGGGGAGATGGCATATGGTGCTTCTGCTAGTTCTGTTTTTTGACGCTCAAGACACGTTCTCGGTATTGTACAAAGAACTATGCGAGCGTAGAAGTTCTTCTTTGACAGTTTTACGTTGTAGTGGATGTTATTTGCTGAGCTTGTAGTTATGCTCTATGTTATTTCGTTTGATCTTAGTTTTTTGACTCTCTTGCAGTCCAATGCACATGTGGCACTCTTTTTCCCACTCGAGGGTATCTTTGGGAAGGTTTTAATGAGGTTGCATTCCTACGTGCAGGTTCTCTTGTATTCTTCCTAAATTATTAATAGAATTTCTCTTCTCAAAAACTACCATAATAAGCACGTCCACTCCTCCTTCCATGACTGTTTTTCGAAAGTTCAGTCATTGCAACATTAAGACATTTTTTACAATCAATGGCTAGAAAGATTACTAGTGCATTGAGCTACACCATAAATTGAACCATATTGCAATATCCCAATTTCTAACTCCCCGTGAGCAACCTTAAAATCACTATCATAAGCATGAATACACAATTTGGTTAACAATTGACCAACTTTCTGATCAAACATTAAGGGAGTATCAACGAATTTGTAATTTGTCAAATATACTCCGTTAGTTGTGTCACTCAAACCTAAGAAATATTGATTTGAGTATTAAGAGGTAATTATCATACCAAATTATAGCTCCTTGGTGGTAAGGTCTTCATCTTGACTTCCTTCAAAGATACACCTTTTGCAACGTGTTTGGGAGATTTTACTCCAACATTTCATTAGCCCATATAAAACATATATTGATTTTCCCGTCCGTATTTTCCCTTGAAAGCAGTTTCAGCTCTTCTATAACTTGCTTTCATAGATAATCTTTTCAATACCACATTCAAGTTAACCTCGTAGTTTCCCTTGGCCGGAAATTTTAGCTCACTGAAAACAACCATGACCTATATAAGTAGCGATCCAAAGGCAGCCGCATGCATAAAAAATGAAAAGCCTAAGAGAGAAATATGAAGGATTAGTAATAGTTTTGATAAAAACATATTCAATCAAATTAAGCTCTGATATTTCTTTTCAAATGTTAATGCAATCAACCATTTCTGGAATAGCCACCCACAGATATTTCTACGTAATAAGTAATTACTAGTCATATACGTATAAATTGATTTAATATTTTTTTCCTAAAAACCAAATAGAGGACATTTTAATTAATTTTATGTACAGCTAGCATGACCCCTTTCTTGCATGAGATGTCAAAGTGACAGCATATTATATATTGTGAAAGCATTGGGTGTGTCATGAGACCCGCTATCAATAGTTTTAGCGATGCACTTCACCTAGCAAATCAACCACACCGATCAGTCGTCAATTGTGATCGTAATCAAGATGCTGGATGTGGACATGAATCGCTGCAATAAGTCAATTGAGCCTCCAAGGCCGTGATTTAAACTTCTTAATTATCTTCCCAAGACTATGGAGATAAATTTTGCCATGTGTCTGGTGGAAAAAAGCTTTTGTCCTTGTCGACATAAGGTCCTTTATTATTCAGAAAAGCATCCCCCGACAATTGTTTGCCAGTTTTCTCTTCTTACCCATCCGCCTCCCAAATAATCGAGCTATATACCAAAAATCTATCTTTGGACCATAAGCTTCGGGCCCCTGCAGCTGCATTCCCATTCCTGCAATTATACTTCTTGGAAGCCAGCTGGGTTGATGGTGCTATAAAAGAGAGAGAAGGTTGAAAGAGATATATGCCCCTTCCACTGAGGATCCCTCAAATAATTTTATTTGAGGGACGCCTTTTAGGATATCTTATGATTTTTTTTTCAATGATTCAAATGTCTATTTTTCAAGTCTTCATTCATAGATCATCCTTGAAAAAAATCATACAAATTGAAAATCATTAAGGCATCTAATTGAGACCAACAAATCAATGAACACGGTGCTTTAAGAAAATACTTGAATTTCAATAATTTAATTGAGTGATCAAATGATATTGGATTGAAGTGATTTTTTGTAGAGATGATCTTTAAATTAATATCTACAAAATAAAAAATTTAAATTAGTGAAATATAACGAAGAGTGAGCCCTACAAAAATGTCCCTTAAATAAACTTATTTTAAAAATCATTCAATGAAAACTCTCTACGTATATATTCCCCTCACCGGTAGAAAATAATATATGATTGTAATTCCGACAGCCCATATCTTAGAAGTCGTTTATTGCTGACCGACCGAATTGTTAGAGGCCCAAACGAGATAACATCGTCAAGATGCGACATGTTGTGTGGACCCCATGACATACGTCCCTATTCGTTGATAAATCACATCCCTAGCGATATAAATCTTCTAGGTAGGTGGGTGATAGTAACCATACCTCTTTTGATGTAGACCGTAGCCAAAACAAACACACACACGCTAGTAAATCACAAGGATTCAACTGCCTTGATGTTTTGTAAACATGGACAAAAGCCATACACACCTAAATACGTGTATACATCGAGAAATGTAATAATAAAACCTTATTGTACAATAATAAGTATTAGGACGAAAATCCCACTAATTAAATACAATATAATATACAGCTTACGTAAACAAAAATTAGACAAGCTAATGGGATTAGTTGGTTGAGCTCTTCCACATCTATCCACGTGGGCAGATGTTCGAAACCCCTAAGCACCCAATAAATATTTGTGTAAACCTCCCTCCCCTAATCGCTTGTACTATAAAAACAAAAACAAAAACTAGACAACGAATGTCCCAATAGCCTAATGTAATGTGCGAGAATTCTATAGTGAAATTACAACAATGTCATCAATGTTTTGTTTTTTAAAAAATTATAATGCAAGGATATTAATGATATTTCACACATCATTCAAATTTAAAAAAATATTACAACTGGCTATTTTTGGATTTTTTTTCTTCAATTTAAAGGTTTTAGTGTTTATATATAAATTCATGCAAGAAATGATTTTTATTCTAAATTTCTCTTTGCTAAATTAACTGCATGGAATGGAAGGAAAAAAATTTCGATGGGAAACAGTAGAATTCGGATAAAGGTCGCTTGGTGTTTGCTCTGAATCTGATGCTCTACTGTATTGTGAGAAGAAAAAAAAACACCAAACAAACAAAATAAAGCTCGAGCTCTGTGAAAAGGATATAAGCACAACTGGCTAATTCATTGCTACGGGTTAAGCAGAAACAGAGATCATCTCAGAATGGCATAGTCAAAGCCTTTTTTCTTTTTTTTTCTTTTATCTAAAATTATTTGCATATTCCTTACCAATAATAAAAGAAAAACCTGCATATTGGGAGGCATTAATGACAGAAGTTGAAAGCCTTACTGGCATGCTAACAAATTAATCACTTCAGACACCTCAAGTGAAACTTCTCCTACCTAAAACAAACAACCTCACAGTACCTCATCATTTGTTGTCTTGGGCTCATTTCCCTCATTTATTCCATTAGCATCATCTGCATGTAGATGATCTTGGTGGTCATCATCATCTTCAATTTCCTCTTCTTCTTCCTCATCATCTAATACATCATCATCTTCCTCATCCTCGTCTAGAATTTCGTCGTCGGGCATGACAAAGTGAAGCTTGAGACGCCCGTCTTCTCTGTAAGCGTGGAGGAACTCCTGGGTGGGAATTCTGATCTCTTTGAGGACAAATCTGCCATCCTGCCTGTAAGACTTGAAGCAAACCCAAGGCTTCCCGCTCTTGCTTATACAAGAAATTGGTGGAGGAAATCCCCCAACACTAGTCCTTGACCTCCTAGATTCACCACCACAACCATTCATTTCTGATATTGGAAAATATTGCTTTGCAAAGCTAACCTTCTCCTCTTGCATATTAATCCGCCTATTATCTTGATCACTAGTCTTGATCAAGTCCTCAACCTCATCTGAGCTTTCAAATCCAAGTCCCTCTGTGCAGAACTGCAAGCTCTCTGAATTCATTGATGAAAAGCTATCACTGCTTTTATGAGATCTGTTGTAATTGGAACTCCTTGGGGTGCTCGGAAAGGATTCCTTTGATGGGCTTTTCTGGTAATTGTTCTCCTCCTCATTCTTGTTGCCAATATTGGATTCTTCTTCTTTTTCAATCTTGGGCTGTGGAGCATCAAAATCAACCAAAGATGGGGATGAAGATGAGGAGGACATCAAATGAGAGCAAATGTTCTCTTTGAAATGAAGCTCACCAAAGATCTCAGTGAAGGATGAAGAATTCTCAGGAGGAATGGATAATGATTTATCAAGAGGCTTGATTTGGTTCCATGGTGAGGAGAAGGATTCAAGAAGTGTTGTTGGGTTCTCAGGTAATTTAGGGTTTTCAAAGATGTGTTGGAGGCTTCCACAGGCAGCCATGGCCTTGTTCTCTGCAGTTCTTACTCCTCTGTCTCTCTGTCTCTCTGTCTCTCTTCTCTCTAAGATGCTTGAGACAAAAGAAACAAATAAAGGGTAGTTCCAGAAAGAAATATAGGAGATGAGATTTGATGGTGGAGAGAAAGAGGCACGGGATCAGGCATGTGGGTTGAAAAAATCAGAGGGTGTGTTGTTGCTATTAATTAATGAGGATTGGTGGTGGGTGCTGATTCAGTTGGACTGGAATATAGAGATGGGTGGTGTTGGTTCTACGCCTTAAATTTGGTGCTTACTGTTGGTGTAATTAGCAGATATAACTTATAAGTTATAACCAACCGATTATTTTTTGCTTGTTTTGTTACACTTAACAAGGCTTAGCTATGTAAAGGCACCTCACATCACATGAATTATCTAGGGTTATGACAATTTTATGTTTTAACTGTGATGACAATGTTTATAAGTGTATTAATTTAGTGCAACACCTTACTTGCCTAGCGCTGATAGATTGCGCGTGAGCACACAAATACGTTTATATATATATATATATTATATATATATATATACAGAGAGTTTCTATTGAAGGATCCTTCATTTATATATTTTAGCAGACTATATATAGCATGTTTATTATATTGCCTAATTATGAATTAAGATTGTTTATCATGTGAAATCATGACTCAATCTGTGATCTTAATAGGTATGTTTGTCCAATTATTAATTTGGGTGGTTGGTTAAGTGAAATCATTCAAAGGGTGTGATAAATAATTCATTCAGGTGTGTGTGTGTATATATCGATCGGTGTCTGTTTGTCATGTGTCTGAAATTCCCTTCTTACAAACACTTGAGTGTAATAAGCAACAAAAAGGATAACATGCAGGGCCAACCCCACATGCATACAATCCAATGATCTAAACCACCAATTTGTTTATTCCTCATTTAATCATTCTTAATTACAAAATATGAGCCAAATTAAAATGTCATTTAATGGTTTAATTATGACCAAATAAATGTTAAATTCAAAGAGACGGGCCAACGGCCCACTACTAACAACATCGATATTGTCTCCAACTTAACCACCTACAAAGTCTAGTAAGTATGGGGTTTTATCACAAAAAGCCTCGGTGATATTCGTAGTAGAACTATTCATCATAAATTGTATTTTATTTAGTCAAGTTTTTGATATGGGACTTATATTCTTCAACAATAAATACACCAACAAAATAAATAGAAACTGAAATCTTCAAAGTGATAATAACATAGCCAAATTACAATCGTAACATTTTGACCAAAACATCATCATGGTACCAGGATCATCCTGAGTTTATCCATGATGTTTTGGTTGAGTCCTAAATCTCTTCCTTCTATTCATAATATCTCCTTATTTCAGAATATATATATTAATAGACGGTTCATGTCACTGGACCAAATTGCGTGGAGTGTGTGACCCCAGTAATGTGATTTTTTCTTTCCTCTTTCAATTTTTTTTTTCCAGAGATGACTCTTGAGAATGACTGATGTTTTTGTATGGATGTACATATTTTCCATCTTACAACCTACGTGGTGGCAGATCATTGTTCTACATATCCAAGGAAACTGATGTGATTTGCTAGAGGATTTGAACCCATACCCTTCACATCTTTGAGTCTTCTCTTTACATCATTTCTTGCCTACCCACCACTACTCGCTTGTGTGAAACGAAAGGGACTTCGTACAAAGCACTACACAATGGCATTTGGAATTGTTCTTGCTTGATTTGTTTGTGGATATATATATATATAGTCGCTTCTATTGAGGAATTTTTCAAATCATTTTTATTTGAGGGACATTCTTTAGAGTACTCTATGAATATTTTTTCAATGATCCAAACCATTTATTTTTAAGCCTTCATTCATAAACCATCCTTGCAAAAAATTAGACAAATCGGAAACTATTTAGATATCTAATTAGAAAATTTTGAAATGAAATTGAAAATAAAAAACTTTAGTATTTAAAGTCCACCCTTTTTTTTTTTTAATAGTAACATCACATGTAGATTTTGTTCACATAAAAGCTTAATATTTTTAAAGTTTAATTAAACAAGTTGCACTGAAATTTCAAATCTAAATTCATCCTTTCAAATTTAAAAAGGATGGATTTCAAATATGAACCCACATTTCTATTATGAACTTTGATTACAAGCAAGTAAGGGGGTTTCACACACACACATTACCAAGGTGTCATGGAGCTTTGAACTTGAGACCACTGATTTGCAAATCAGAGTTCTTTTTCACTAGACTAGCACTCGTTGATTATGAACTTTATGTTAAATCAACCAGATGAATCTACACTTTAAATTGTATGCGTCATAGGTCAAATCAGCAGGATTTGTCTTCAATTATATTTGTTCACATACGAATGTTGTAATTTCATATATGAGACATAAGAAATTTCCTCATAAATGACAAGGGTATTGATGTGCGAGACGTGGATGAGATTGAAAGGTTCTTAGTTGTTACCACGTCTCCCTGTCCTAAGCTGCTGCCCATGTTCTTAGGAGTGAATATCATGTGGATTTGTAACGAATCTTTGAAGAAAAATCTATACCACAACATGTCATCTCCATATTTTTTCTCGAAGACGAAAAATCTAAATTGCCACAACATGTTACCTCTAATTCGTAGAAAAATCTATACCACAACATGTCATCTCCATATTTTTTCTCGAAGACGAAAAATCTAAATTGCCACAACATGTTACCTCTAATTCGTAGATTTAGATGTAACGGTTAGACAACACTAGCCTAAAAACTTAAGTTATTAAAGAATAAGTCAATAATGTATATTACGCCATTCTAAATCCTAAACTCACTCTAATTACCTTTTGTTCAAAGTAAGGATAGAGAAGTTCTAAAGGAGCCATGTGCAGATAGGATGAAGTGCAAAGATATAAAATAAGTGATTGTAAAACACAGAGAGTAAGTGAATACTATCATGTTGGGTTGTCGCGGTGCGAAAAGGCGGTGGCATGGTAAAGAAAGGTAAGGCAAAGAAAGGTAAGGTAAGACAAAAGACAAGACAAATAAAGACAAAGAAAAGGCAAAGGACACAGCAACGGAAAGCAAAGCAAGTAAAGGCAAGGTTGATGTCAAAGGCGACAGCAGCGACCACGACAACAGCAACGACAACAGCAGCCAAAGTGAAAGAGAATTCCTCCATATCTACTTTACCTAATTCACGCAGACACAACTTCTTCACTTCCCCTCTCCCCTTGAAGAGAAGAGGTTGTCGGAGTCAAGGAATAGGCAATATCTTCATGGAAAAGAGAAACAGATCCTTTTCACTCCCCTCCCATGTGATTCTACATAAAATCACTTCTATGGATGTGGGAATCACATGAGAGGTGTTTCTCACAAAAATAACCTAAAATGATTATATGGAGAAGCATGTGGGAGGTGCCTCTCTCCAGAAGTGATTTTGCCTATCCAGAATCACTCCCAAACGAGCCCTAAATGGGTAAGTAACCAAAATCCTAACATAGTAAGGAATCAAAATTCTAATTAAATAAAGACTCGCCAACAAAAAAGATCAACAAGCCACTCTAATTAGATTGAACTTTACTACAACTTAAATTGTTTTTAACCCAATCCAAACGGCAAGAACCAGTTCACCTGTCGCGATTATAAAAGATTTTAGATGTCATGGCCGGCCTTCGATCAAGACGGTTTAGCTAGCTGGATGAGCCACAGCCAAGAGCTGGTGATTTTCAAGGGCATGGAGATGAGGAATATGTCAATGGTTCCTTTTGGTAGCCACTACTTTTTTATGACAATGTTTGGCTCCCATCACTCAATAGTGATGGCTCATGTAAGTATAGACAACCATCTCCAAGCCGTTGAGGTTTATTTGATGCAGACTATACTTCTAAACAATGTAGCAACTAGTGTTCTCGAGAGTTCCATAATGGGGTAGGTTTTATGTCGTCCTGGTATGATTTTCTTTCCACGTGATGTGTATTGTTCACCGGCTATATACATTTCTGGTCCCCCCCTTCTCATTTACACATTCCAGACAAATCAAATTAAATACCATTTGTTTTTCATCGATTGTGAATGAATGATGGGTAATGTTAACGAGTCCTACAATACATCAACGGCCCACAACCGTCCACAAGTGCACGGACAACTTATGCTATCATCACTCTGACGTTAGCTCTGTTACCTTCTGACATAGTTTTTGAAATGAGGAATTGAAGTAAATCAATTACATTGAATATAGGAAATCTTGGCGTGTAAGGAAAGTGATTGCGGATCCACAAGTCCCACAAAAAAAAGTAAAATGAAGGTTTATTCATGCATACATCAGAAACACAATGGAACTCCAATAACAGTGTTAGTGATAGATACTATCAGAGTGTCATCCATGAAATAAGAACAGGTTAAGCAGACCACACAGCCAGACAGAAAACATACATCAACAATTCACAAACTCTTTCCACAATCTTGCAAATCAATCAAACTTATATTCACACAATGCCATAGATTCAGTTAAAGATCAAACTGGACAGAGCTTTAGCTTTCTTCACCGCCAGGCTTCAATCCGCTCCATCCTTGAATCTATGCGACTCAGATTGCTGATACCCCTATTCTTCTCAACAGGCCCTGTTCCCCATACCACAGGCTGGTGATCACTTGTGCTTTTAGGCCCCATTTTGAAATTTGAGATACTCGATTCACCAGGTTTGTTCTTTGCAGATTCGCCTTGAATTTCCGCTGTTATGCTGTCAACTTGCGCAGCAGTATCACAACAGCCATCGCCATCAACTAAGCTTATCGAACTGCTAGCCTCTCTATTGGTTAGGTTATTGACATGGTTAGAGTTAGAAGAACTTCCCAGTATAGGTTCTTCAGTAATCAACGATTGCTCTTTCTCTCCATTATCTTTGCCAGTATCTTCCCTGCAGGACTGTGAAGGGCTCTGGTGTCCATGCTCATCAGAAGGTTCTTCATAGCACACAGGAGGCTCTACCACAGCATCCTTCCTTTCTCGCAGTGTCTTCAAAATAAGCGTTTTGAGGAAGTTCATCACTTGGACTGCGTACATCAATGCAGTCAAAGGATCTGCCATCTGAACCCAAAAAAAGAGTCAAAATATGGCAATGATAGCAAACGTAGTCAGAAATCATTTAATGATTTTTCTATGGTTGGAAACTTCAAGGTTCCCAAACCAGAGGGGGTGGGAGGTGCCCCACTGATGCTGTAGCCTGTATCCCTTTGTATGTAATATGGTACAAAATTTAGTATACAGCATATGACATGCAGCTTCAACCCTTGAACAAAAGGAAAATGAAACCTTCACTGGAAATTAAAAAGCTATATATACACTAAACTAAAGAAACAAAAAGAAAACAGTCATACATGCAGTGAAAGCATGTATTCAAATCAGCGATTGGGTTATCAGAAAATTAACATGTGATCTTTCAGAAGAAATAGTAACTATGCTTGCCACTGATATCGGTATGGAAGATGCACTCTTCAGGGGAAAGGAGAAAAAAGCAAGAACAGAAAAACTATGAAAACAAACCTGCGTCATGTTTGGTGCAAAAACCATGGCTATGTTGCGTGCATTCATCTTGTTCAGATGTTCCTGTTGGACAACATCAGCCATAAGGTTGATGGCCCAATCCAGTAGGGAAACTTCGGTGGGAGGTAGAAGCCTCACAAGCTGCGAACAGTCCTCTTCTGTCTGACATCGCATTACCTGCTCAGGGGATAGAGAATCCAGAACCCCAGCTGGGAGTTCCCTAAACCAAGCCTAAATAACCAAATTACACATCAGGTGAATGTATCAAGAATCAAGACAATGCAAGATGAGGTAAACAACAAGAAAGCATTCTATTCTAATGGGCGGTCACATGGATCATGGATGCAAACACATGAGACTCACAACCACAAGAAAAGGAATAAAGATGAACATTCAAGTCAAGGAAACCCATAAGTCCTAGCATTTTCACCAATATCCAGAATAGGCTTCACAAGAAAATCCTCAGATATGTGCACCATGAGAAAAGGTTACTGAATAACAAAGTTTGACTTGTAAAATAAATGACATGATGAAATGTAATGATTAAAAAATGTATGTGCAAATGAAAGGAAAAGAGTATTTGCAAATCTAACAAGTTTTGGATTTGCAAACAAAACTCTGGACCTTAGTAGAAAGGGAAGTGGGAGAGAAGATAAAGAGAGCATAAAGATGAGAAAAACAGAAGAAAGGAAGAGACGAACAAGAGGGAGCCAGCCAATATGATTTCATTATCCTGTAATTCAAGTTGAATCATAACCTATTTATAAGGCTGATCTTAGAACCCCTGTCAAAATCAAATTCCTTCGCAAAATTCCAAAAAAATTAAATCATTGATAAAATCCTTAATTTACTCTGTAATCAAACCCCTAAATAGGATAGAAGTCCGTAGTAATAATTCTTAGTAGGATCTTCACCATTCTTCCCTGGACTCCTACTACAGGAACTTGACTCTTGCAGTTACAATGGACAAGTGATACTGCAACTATCTAAACTTCAAGAACATTTTCAAGCACTCCCATTTTTTGTTGATGAAAAGGTACAAAGGATGGTGACAATTCATCAACTACACCTGGAGTTGATACAAACACAACAAAGGAGGCCCAAGGGTGCCTCAATAAAAGAAAGATCATGCTCACTTGTACCCCGTGTTGTTCCATCCTCGATTGTGGCACATTTGTGCTTGTGTCATGCCATAGTTGAGTTCATTATGTTATTTTGGCATGAGCCTATGTGGTTTTTTCTCCTTAGATAGCAATTGACACATTGATAGCAGAAAACAGTCAATTGAGGCACAGAAACAATGAATACAGAAATACAAAGGAAATTCCCCAGCCCATTTATTCTCCACAACGAGACAAAGGATTTCAGAAAACAAATCAATTCCCTGTGAAATGTTTCTCTAAGGACTCCTACAAGAGATTCTCAACACCTTATTGGAATCTCACCTGTTAGTGCTAGGACCATACTACTTTGAAATGACAGTATGCCAAACGGATTTCTCTCCTAAGGAAAGATCCACAATCACTTCCCTAACAAAGTCACATTCCTCTTAGTCAGATTTGCTGCACGGCACACACAGAATTCTCTTCCTTTCCTAGGTCATGAACCTAATTCTGACTTCACCAAATCCTCCTCTTTACCTTCTCCTTGACACAACCTCACACAAAGTCCCTGACTTGGAATTTATAGAGCCAGTCTGAAAATCCCATTAAATGAAATCCCATAATTAACTCCCTTGTAAACAAGGATAAAAGTCTGAAAATAGTTAACAATCATTCTCAGGGCCATCATCACCAGGCCATTACTTTGGAAACTAAATTCAAAGCAATGTCAAATATGCAAATTTCAAAATTATCACTGACACAAACCAATGGGTGCACATTTACCCTTATACATGTTGATGCCAAAAATCGGATGAAATGTCTTATGCTTTTCATGCAACACTTGTGCCTTCAACATGCCATGAAATTATATCCGGAAAAAAAAAATTATAAAACAAACAGGCCATGAAATCAAGGGAAAAGTAAAATCAGAGAAGGGGGCAGTGTGGTGTCAGCCAACAACCTCCGACAATCAAGTCAAGCAAGAAACTTGTGAGGAAGTAGAGAGGCAGAGTCCCCTGTATCACTATCATCATTCATCACTCAAATCAGGTTACCTTCACATATTTCATGTGGACAAGCATATGCCAAATATAATGCAAGACAAAAAGTATCAATCATAAATTATAATGACCTACCTTGATCAAACCTGCCAAACAGTGTATATCGATGCCTTCTGGTACATCTCCCCTATTTAATTGGTCCCTTACATGCTCCTCTTGACTGTTTTCTGCATTAATTCTGAAAATCCCTTCTGCCTACATTTATAGTTTTACAATTTGAGAAAATGTCAGGGACAATAAGTCAACAGCTTTATAACCAAAAATGTGGAAGCAGAACCACCCCATATCACACAGACAATACAATGAATCAGAATTACAGACTTAAGTTAATTCTTAACTATTAGGATTGTGTACCATAATTTATGTCAGCATTGGAAATCAGTATTCATGACGTGAACATAGAATGCACAGAGAGAAGGGAAATGCAGTATACCTGAAGGCCTCCTTCAGCATATAACCGTCCTTGCATAAGCAAGAGAATTGTTGGCACACTATTCCCTCTAGAGTCGTATGACAACTGCATGGACTCCGTGGATACTCCAAAAACAGTTGTACTACATATTAAAAAAATCAAAATCAAGAGAGGCGGGAATTATAGCAATTAAATGACACACGAAATTTTTTTTTTGCTCACAAAAACTACCAGGCTTTGAGTTTTTGAGGAACAAATAGCGGATCTGATCTAATGTTGTAAACAAGTTTGTAAAAGTGCAAATTAATTTCATTCATCTGTGATGATGAGGAATGTGATGAAATTTGGAATTGTCAAAGACGTGGCTCGTAAACTGATAGGCCAAACCAAGGAAGTTGATAGAACATATATCAGGACAGAAAAAAAAACTTGAAATCATCTGTAACCTCACAACCATAATATTGAATCGCAGAAACACATGCACTAATTGAACTCAAGAAATGCATTGCAAAAACCTATTCAGGGAAAATAATTACACCAGTTATTGTAGACAGAAAATTCACAGCAATTCCACAACTCAATGCAACCAAAACCCATCAATCAAAACGAAAACTTTTTCAATTACATAAATTGGGTAAACCCAATAAACACCAAACATAACATAACAATACAAAACCCACATTCACATTTCACACGAAATCACAGCGGAACATTCACCCCAAAAAAAAAAAAAAAAAAAAAAAAAAAAAAAAACCTTGCACTAGGAGCCCTCCTGGGGACTTCAGGTTCAAACTCCACAGGCAAACCCAAGAACCCATTGAACCTATCAAAGGTGACATGCGCCACGTGGCGCACATTGGTTGGCCAGCCAATCTCCATAGCACAAAGCTCCCTCCTATCACTCTTGCAAGGAATCAAAGATTTCCTGAAAAAGGTTACAAGCAATGCCAAGAGAGAAAGCTGTTCCCTTCTCCGCTTGTCACGGTCCTTCACCTCACAGTCAGTCACCGCAGACTCGCAATCTTCTTCTTCGCTAGGGTGGGGCTCGTAGGATAAAGAAGATGGGGGTGCGCACGATAACGAAACAGAAGAAGAATTAGAATGAGGAGGAGAAGAAGAAGAAGAAGAGGAGCCGGCTCTTGGGGAAGAGCAGAAATGGGAAGGGGAATGGAGGACCTCAGTCATGGCTGGCTATGAAAGCAACCTTTTTCTTGATTGATTAAAAAAGCAAAGAAAGCGTTTTCAAGATTACTTCTTTGCTTTAAGAAAAGAAGAAAATCAAAAACAAATGCTCAGAGAGAGAGAGAGAGAGAGAGTTTGGATTGGAAGGGAAGAAAGGGTCTTTGAGCAATGAGCACTGTGGGACGTGAGAATCATTAACTGAAATAAATATGTCCTTTTTTTTTATTTGGGTTTTTTGTGACTGGTTTTGGTGGCGTTGAACAAGAAAAGCAAGCAACAGAGACAGAGAGAGGAAGAGAGTTGTATTTCGGTTCGAAGACATAAACCGAATCAATACGGTTGGGCCGAGCATTAATTAATGTAATTAATTTAACTTTAGAGTATTAATTTCTACAGGTAGGTTTTAATTAACTCTCACCACACCTTTTTGCTTCTATCTAGTGGTGTAGTGGGATTGGCCGGCTGCAGGTATTTGGGTTTTGAGATGGACGGCTTAAGTAATTCCTCCTTGAGAGGTGACGTGGACGTGTTGATAAGAAGTTTTGTAGATAAAATAACAATAAAAGAAATTAAATTAATAAACTAAACAAGTTATTAGTAGAGTATGTTGGAGTGAGATATTTCAAGGTAGCAAATTTTGGCTCCTCAAATTCTCACGCGGTCCGTCTCTTTCTTCTGGTTTGATAAGTTGAACGCCAAACCTCACTAAATCTTTGTTTCTACCTCTACCATCACCATGGGTCATTCGCCAAATCTACAGAAGATTAGTCAACGGGGGTGGTTTAAGAAGTTTGACATCTTCTTATGTATGTTAGAATATATTAGTCATAACGAATGACTAAGAAATATATATATATATCTTCTTATGTATATTAGAAATCTATATTGAATTCGCATTATTATAATCCGCAATAAAGAAAAGCCCTATACATATTTTGGAAACATAAACGACATACATATCTATAAAGAAAAACTCCATTTAAATCATCAATAGCCATTTGACTCGTCCCATTTCCATTACTTCATTCAAATCAACAACAAAAAAATGGTATTGCGTAGTACATTGTATGAAGAAAAGGTTTTCTTGATATATTTTTAGAAACTATGTCAAAAACTATGGCTACGGCCAAGATGAGTTTATATAGGGAGCTTCAAGTATGGATGTATAGATGCAAGAAAAATAATGGTATCCCATCAAAGATTATCTTTTTCTTAAAGTCAAAACATGGTCATTTAAAGAGAAAAGCATAACTTGCCTAATAAAACTGAAATGATGATGAAATGAAATAATTCATTTAAACAATAATGATAGTCACTTCAATTGCATATAAAGTAGTATGGACTTGTAGTATAAAATGCGGTAAAAGTAGCCTTATTGATAATGAAATGTTATTAGTAATTCCATAATTATAGTGTCGTAGTATTTTTCTTTCACAATGTTGAAATAGATTCCAACTTAGACTTCTTCCTCCTTTTACTCAAGTTACAAATCATAATGGGTTTAGTTTTGTGTTTATTAGGCATAAAGCCAACAAGGTGGCGCACTATTTCGTAATTCTAGAATAAAGTGGTTTGAAGAATCATCAGATGCTATTAAAGATTGTCTAGTCTTTGACGCTTGTAATAAAGGTAAGACATTAAGTCCCTCGAGTTCATTTTGATGATCAATAAAATTTTCCTTGTACTGTCGAGATTCTCTCAAAAAACAATTATAAAAAAATATTCATATAATGTCAGGCCGATGATCTAAATTTAGGTAAGATAATTATTCAAGTTTTACTTGGGGCTGTTTAATTGAAGAATTACATGTGTCGCCATTGACCAGCATGCTTTGGCGTGCTTCTTTCCTTTCGTGTGACGTGTGAGTGAAAAATGATTATTATACTCACTTAACGGACAAGATTATTCTTTGTATAGGTATTCTGGAACAGCCCTTTTCTTATCTTTTGGATCCGTAGGTCCCACCCCAGTATCATTGACCACTAAAAACTCAGCTGTAATGAAACAAAACTTATATTTTCAACGCCAAACGACCAATCCCGTTGTTCCACGCTCATGGTCTGAACTCCCGGTTTTTTGCTTTGGGCTTGGATACTTTCGTATCTAGGCCCAAAGTTTGGTTCAATGAACCTTTAGCCACGTCATTGTCCTTTGTGGGGCCAGAAGGGGAAAAAAATTCAGGTGTAAACAGTCGTACTCTCTCTTTCGTGCTTTTGATGTAGCCAAATTGAAAAAGTTCAGATTAATATTCAAATTTACTTAACAATTTAAGCTTCGCATGAAACCATACAAATAAAAATAAAACTTCTAAACTCCAGTAAGGGAAATGTCCATCTTGGACTTATTTTCCTGATCAATGACATCTAGGAAAATTGGATCGACGGTGATGTGACTGTCCACGTGGACCTTAAACTTATGATCCCACCACAAAACCCTTGCGGTACCGGCGATATCCACGGCAGCGTCAAGCACCATCTCACGCCTCGCCGCGTCCGCGATGAAGCTAGCGGCGTGGTGGGCCAGCTGGAGCCCGTCCAGCCGAGCCGGGAGCTGAAGCAGCTGGGTGGACTTGGCCGGCTGGGAGCCGGCTTCGACATCTGCCGAGCCGAGAAGTGCGCCTTTGTAGAAGATGGACATGGTGGTGGAGGAATACTGGATGGGCACCACGTTGGGGTTGGTGACTTGGACGGTGAGGATGAGCTCGGCGTCGAGGAGCGGGAAGTTGAGCTTGAAGGAGGTGAGCTTGATTGAGACGACGTCGAAGGTTGGGTCCTTGGGCTTGGAGGAGATTAGAGCCGTTGTTGCTAAAGCCGACGCCGCGCCGATCAGAGCTGAGCTCCAGCTCCAGTCGAGCTTTATGCCCATGGCCATGGTGTTTGGACGAATTTACTGAGAAAATGGGGCGGCGGAATTGAATTTGAGATCTGAGGATTTGAGTTGAGTGTGTTGTTTAATGTCGTTTTGGAGTTCAGCTTTGGAAGAGCAGCAACACAAAGTGAACAGGTGGCGATAGAAGATGACGTGTAGCAGTAATAAGTCCAGATTCTAACTTATGTTAGATTTTTTGTCTTTAATTTCCATGTGGTAGTCATTTCTAGGGGTGCACCTCCGTTTTAAACAAATACAATTTAGTTAATTTGCATCCGATCTTTTTTCTTCTCTTTTTGGTCGGAATCAATCATGTTCATTCAAAACTCATAAATGGAGAGAAAACAAATAGAAAATACAAATGCCAAAAAGGCCAGTTAAAAGAACGAAATGCCACAAACAGAGAAGATTAAACTAAAACCAGTACCGTCTAGTATAATAGTCTTCCCCATCACAAAATCAACCAAAATACAATACAAAGTCACCGTTTTCGGCAAAAGGGACGGAGACCGAACCACAATGGCCACAAATAATGAGGGGATACACCACCACCAGACAGGTCAGCATTGCTGCACATAGAGACCCACGGATCTTCCACCAAAAACAGATATTCCCCAAAAATCGGAAACACATCAGCCCTCGAACCTTCCTCCAAAAGTCACCTTCTCCATCATACCTAAATCTGTCATTGCACCTGAGAGAAAACAACCAATCACAACACCAAGGTATATACCAAAAGACCGACACCAAGAGAGTGGAGAGTATTGGTGCAAGCACCAGAGCAAGAACCGTAGCAAAAGCTCTAAATAAAATCCGAGAAATGAGTGACAAAGCGCTTATAGATATGATTGTTGTATCCCAAAGGAGATTCTAGATCCAGAAAGAGGATAAGGCAAAAAGAGGATGAGAAGTTGAGGAAGAAATAAATCTGGTTGAAGGGGTTGTTTGGTGGAGAACGAAGGACTCAAAATTGGCATGAGACATTTAATCTCAGCACAGAGTATAAGGCATAAGCAGACACCACAGAGGGAGAAGCACCCAACTCTCAAAGAGAGCCACAGACACAGCCAAACAGGCTTAAACCGAAAGAAGACCAACTCCACCAAAAGCCCAAGACATGGGAGAAGGGGAGGTAGCAGAACAGGAGAAAGAAAACCGAAAGAAAAGAAAAAAATCAAGAAAACCGAAAATTGCTCTGTAAAAACAGAGCGGCTCCTCAAGAGGTGGAAGATGAATGAAAAGGCAAGAGAAAGGGAACGAAGGAGCAACCAAGAAAAGAAAGAGAGAGGAAATAAAAGAAAAAAACCAGAAAAAGATGGAGGGAGAGAACAAAAAAAGAGAACAGAGAGAGAGATGGGGGGCTATGGGGAGGGAAGGGGGGGAGAGAGGGGAGAAGGGTCAATGACCACTCCCCTTCCTGAGTGGCGTTGAAGAAATGGGGCTAGGGTTGGGAGAAAAAATATATTTTGTTTAGAGAGAGAAATTCCCACCACGATTGGGCTCATCTGATCCAATATAGATTGAATTGTGATTTTTTCAATTCAATCCAATTATATTAGAAGTTTAAATCCAATTCAATCTGATCCAATTCAATTGATATTGGATTGAATTGGATGATCGGTTTTGATAATGAGAAAAAAAAACAATAATGAAATATTAAACATTTTAATAGACGTAAATGTAAAATATAAATGAAATACTAGAGAAAATTATTTTGATTATATTATATATTAAACACAACTATATTAAATGATTCAAAATATTCATAACATTTTCAAGTACAAAACCTATAAGAGCAAAATAAGCATAAAACTAACTAGATTGGATTAAATTGGATTCTCATAAGCAAATCAGCCAAATCATCGAAATCAATTGAATTTGGATTAGTTTGAATTGGATTGGATTTTGTACACCCTTAATCATTTTCAGAGTTAACTGAAAGACGTAATGTCCAAGAGAGATGACCAAATATTGGGGTCAATTTTGTCCTTCTACCCTATTGGGCCACACCATTGGGCTTTCCAAGTCTTCAACAACATCATCAAATTCTCCCATTTCACCGCCAATTAGGCGATATAGGAGGCCTTCGAGAGAAAAGACAAGTTGCACATTGTAGATCTCAAGTAAGGAATATGAGATATGTCTTACCTAAAGACATCTGGATGGGGGAACATTGGGGATGAGATGTGGCGGGGTGGGGAAAGAGAGAGATTTGTTTGCTAAATGTGGGTGGTGGTTGGCAAGCGCGAAACCATGAAGTTTTCAATGGGTGGGCTAGCTAAAGTTATTAGCTTAAAATCTAATGATAATTTTTTTTTTTGGTACTAACAGTTTCTATAGTTTTTATAGAATAAAAGTATACATTAAATCATATAAATCACACTAGTTGTAAACACAAGAAATAAATTAAAGTAAAAAGACAAAGACATTTACTAAAATGCTGAAAATGGAAATAAAGTAATTTGTATACCTGGAGTGCATCACCACCAGCTAAGTAAAGAGGCAATTTGAAGCACCTATAATAGTTTTTCCAGCTAAGGGATGTACTTAATAGGTCGGCCACTATGTGGTAGGATATGCAATTGTATATATTTTATTTATTTTTAGTTAAAAATATTATGTTATATATATGTTTAATTATTATTATTTTTTCTCAAAACCTTCCCTAGGCTACAGCCCAGGGCAACCCTTGGGTTAGTTCCTTCCCTGGTGGTTGGGGGTGGGCCTTTGTTATTCAGGCACCGAATGAGTAGGGGTAAAGGGCGTGGAGGGTTGGAGGTGGGTCGAACGTGCTGAATGGAATTTTAGTTTTTGTTAATTTAATTTTATTTCTTATGTTTATGTTTTTTTTTAATCTCACTCTCATACTTCAATATTAGTTTTTGGCCTTGAAATTATAGTAAAAATAGTTGATAATTACAATATTATAATTTAACCAAATTACCAAATTAGTGCGGATGAGCAAGCAACCTTCTCTCGGTCTATGTTCTTTTTCAACTTTTGAATTCAAGACCCTTAGTAAGCTCTTGGACTTATATTGCTTTCGAATCCGGACTTATTACACGCTAACATTTAAATCAAATAATAGTTTGGATTCCAAATTGGGAACCAACTACGGCACACAACAAAGCCTGCAAGAAGCCAAAACACTTTTAAAAAGAAAAGAGAAATTTGCATAAATACCACCTGAACTAATAAGGGTGTGTGTATTTACCACCCAAAGAATAAAATTTGACTGATTACCGCCTGGACTTTAACTTTAGTGCAAATCTACCACCTCGGTTAGATTTAACAGAAATCTCTGTTAAATGAAGTTATGTAAGGGCAATTCTGTCAATTACTATGCACTTAAAAAAATAAAAGAAATTAAAAACAAAAACAACCCCACACTCAAGTCCCATGGTAGCCCGCCCCACTCACTGCTCAACAAACACCCTCTCTTCTCTCCCTCTTCTTCCCTTCTGTCAATTAATTTCAACAGAAATTAAAGAGGAGTAGAACATAAAAATAAAGATAAATTATTAAATTAATAAAATAATTTTGGGGCTGTGAATTTATAGGTGGGTAGGCAACAGCGGTTTGAGAAGGTGAGTGGTGGGGAGGAGGGGGAGGGGGAGGGGCTGGGTTAGGCAAGAGAGAGAGAGGTAAAAGTGTGTGATTGGGGAGGGGTTACTTGCTAAGCAGTGGGTGAGGAAGGAGGGAGGGAGGGGGGTCTGGGAGTTTTTTGAATATGGGAGAGGAGAGCGGGGCTGTTGTAGGTCGGGGAAGGGCTGCAATGGTAAGATGTTTTTTAATGTTTTTATTTATGAATTCTAGGGATAAAATTGGAATACTGACCCAAAATTTTAGTGCATTGGTGAACAGAGAAAATTTTGGGGTGTATTTGGAACTTTATGACGGAAAATTAGACAGAAGTTAATAGAGGTGGCACATTAACACCAAAACTGAAGTTTGGGTGGTAAATAGTTAAATTTTATTATTTGGGTGGTAAATACGCACACCCCTAATAGTTTAGGTGGTGGTTATGCAAATTTCCCAAAAGAAAATTAAAAACACTGCTAATTTCTCAACTCAAGCAAGAAAAATCTCCATCTCCAACTTATTTTCCTGATCAATGACGTCAAGAAAAACTGGATCAACGGTCACGCGACTATCCACGTGAACCTTAAACTTGTGATCCCACCACAAAATCCTCGCCGCCCCAGCAATATCCACAGCCGCGTCGAGCACCATCTCCCGCTTCGCCACGTCAGCAACAAAGGTAGCGGCGTGGTGGGCCAGCTGGAGCCCGTCGAGCCGCGCAGGCAGGCGGAGCAGCTGGCATGACTTGGGCGGCTGAGAGCCGGCTTGAACTTCGGCCGAGCCGAGAAGCGAGCCGTTGTAGAAGATGGACATGGAGGTGGAGGAGTAGTGGACGGCTGTGATGTTGGGGTTGGTGACGTGGACGTTGAGGATGACGTCGGTGTCGAGAACTGGGAGGTTGAGCTTGAAGGAGGTGAGATTGACGGAGATGAGGTGGAAGGTTGGGTCCTTGGGCTTCGACGACAACAGCGCTGTCGTCGCTAAAGCCGACGCCGCTCCGATAATTGCTGAGGTCCAGCTCCATTTGACCTTTTTGCCCATGGTCTTTCGGCAAATTTACCACTCTATCCGGAGCTCGGACCGAGACAGCTGCCTGAGATTGAGGGTTTGAGCTGAAGCGACTGTCGTTTTTGAGTCTAATTTTGGGATGTGGGATGTTGTTGAATTGAAAGGCCAAGACAAGTGGACAGATGGCACTAGGAGATCGCATATAGGACAATGGAGTAATGTTTCGTTTTTCATTGGGTTGTATTCCACTCCAAAATTTTATGTTACACAATAATGTCGCGAAAAATAATTATTGGTTGTTTTTTATTTTTATTTAAAATATATATATATATATATATAAAGCAAAAGACAGAGAATAATGAAACATTCAAAATATCATAAAATATTTTTGGTTAATTCAAACATTAAGAATTAAAAATATTAATTAAATGAGGATAATATGATAAATTCACTTTTTCATATTAAAAAAATTAAAATTAAAAACAAAATAAGATAATAGGTCATACTTTTATGGAACATAACTATCTATGTTATCTTTTCTTAAATCTAAAAATAAAATTAAAAAGAAAAAAGAAAACCAATTGGCACATGTGTGAGCATGTGTTAAGAGGTTAGTATATAGAAATTCTAAAATTGTATTCATAATTCAGTCAAAAAAGTCACTAGTCACAAAGGTCCAATACAAACTAACCATAAAGAGCCATTATAATAACGGAGCGGTCTAATATCAAAATTAAGACAATTTAGTGCGTCTCTACTAACGATCACGCATGATAGAAGAAACTTTGGCATAGACATCCCAACTAAGATTACAAACTCAAAATAACAAAAAAGAGGTAAAACTTGAAAAACCAAGCCATAACAATAAAAATAAAACTCTCACAAAGGAGAGGTGAAAAGCCCTCACAAAGGAGAGGTGAAAAGCTCTCACAAAAGGATATGTGAAAACTACATAGATAACCCAAAGAGTCTCTGTGACTTATTCCAAACATAAAGAAACCGCAAAAAGGATGATGGTGGAGATTCGACGCTGAAATGCATGTGGAGATCTGACGCCAAGATGCAGCTGCTTGTGATGGTTGGAGGAAAATCTTAACAAAACAAAGACAAATAGAGAAAACCTTTTGTCTCTGAATAAGGGGAGAAGAGAGGGAGGAAGAGAAGAGGGGAGAGGGGAGAAAGAACAATGGCTTCCTCCCCCCTCAAAGTGAAAACGAATTTAGGAGGGTTTTTTGGAAGAGAGGGGGCTAGAGTTTGGGAGAGAGGGTTTTAATCATTGGGTATCTGGAGGTTTTGAAAACTAACATTAGCTTATTTTTAACCTTATAATTCAACAACGTTGTTAAGTGTAATTTTGACATGATTTACTTAATATGTGTAATTTGCAAGTAATTGCATGCATATTATCTTAAACTTTATACCCATGGAAGTACAATTTCTCCTCTGTTACCCTAAATTAATCTCTCCAAACTAAGATAAAGATGCAAATCATGAAGAAAACAATAAATCAGCACTGACATTTTAGATGATTCATCTCATGCAAAGAAAAAAGAGTTCACAGATACATAAACACAAAGGAAAATCTCCCTCGTCGTGAAAGTCCACATTGTAATAATTAAATAAATCAAGGATCAGCTGATCCAAGATTTTAAGCATTAGAAAAACGCTACCCCTTGACCTTGCCCATTTTCTAATTCTCATAATCTGATATTAGAAAATTCTCTGGCTGTTCTTTTAGATGTATTTTACAGAGTCCACTATACGTATTGTTCAATGTATATATATTGTTACATGACAGCACGTTTAGAGAGGCAACTTAGAACAGCTTGTCAGTGGAGAAGAAGATGTGCAAACCATACCACTTGTAATAGTACCAAACAACGTTTCCCATCGAGAGCTTCCTTCTTTCCTATAAATGGAAAAGATGCGCTTTGTTGTTCCATGCATATATTGTTCATCAATTAGTGTCTCTGAAATTAAGTTAAGATCAAGATGAATATGTCTAGCACAGCTGCAGTGGCAGTAGTAGCAATTGGGCTCGTATTTTTGACCTTCGCCAGCCAGTGCTCCGGTGCACTGGAGGTAGGATTCTACTGGGGAAAATGCGGCCGGTTTGTTGATGTTGAAGGTATTGTAGCCGGCGTAGTCAAGACAAAATTTTTCAGGGACCGGACAATCGCTGCTGCCCTCATCCGCCTGCAGTTTCATGATTGCTTTGTCAATGTACGTAAGTCTTTTTTTTTCTTTTCTAAATAGTAAAACTAAGGTTTATACTCTATTTGAACCATATTTACTGATTACGTATATAATATGTATGGTATCCGTATATGAGTGGGATTCGCTTCTCTAGTATTGGAAAATAACGTGGTTAGTAAATGTGTGGTCCAAATAACAGGATGATCTTTTTCTTTTATTTCCTACTGCATGAGCTAATGCTTTCATATTTCTCGAAAAGGGATGTGATGCATCCATTCTATTAGATGGAAGCGCCAGCGAGAAAACTGCTCCTCCAAATCTAAGCGTACGGGGTTTTGATATCATTGACACCGCAAAGACTGCGGTGGAAAGTGTATGCCGGGGAGTTGTCTCTTGCGCTGATATCATTGCCATTGCTACCAGAGAAGCTGTTTATTTGGTAAGCAAACCCTATCTTTTTCTGTGTGTAAATTTTGAGTTTGATGATTTTATATAGAATCTAACATGACTACATCAGCTTCATTATTATAATTAAGCTTATACTGATTAGTTCATGGTGGTGAAATTTGATTATGTACTTTCAGAGCGGAGGAGGGCGATACAATGTTCAAACAGGGAGAAGGGATGGCTTGATATCCCTTGCAGCAAATGTTGACCTCCCAGCTCCCTCAATATCAGTGCCTGATTCAGTTGCAGCATTTGCTAGAAAAGGACTCAATATGACTGATATGGTTCATCTTCTTGGTAAGTTGGTACTAAAAAAATATAATTCATCTGTTTTTTTTCTCTTAATATTCTTGTTCTTAAATTTCTTCCATACTGCTTGATGATGTAGGTGGTCACACTGTTGGGGTGGCACATTGTTTTCTCTTCCAAGATCGTCTTTACAATTTCCAGAACACTGGAAAACCTGACCCCGATATGAATGTAGCGTTACTAGAAAGGCTGAGAAGTATCTGCCCTCAAAACTCAGCTGGCACCAATGCTACTAATTTGGACCAGAACCCTCAAAGTTCGTTTATTGTCGATAACTCGTTCTACAAGGAGATAATAACCCGTAGAGGAATTCTTCAAATTGACCAAGAGCTAGCTTTGGACCCCATAACTCAGGCCACAGTGACCGCCTTAGCGAATAACAGTACTAACAGCTTCGCCACTAAATTCGGGCAGGCCATGGTTAAGTTGGGAGCAGTTGAAGTCCTTACTGGCTCACAAGGGGAGATTAGGAGATCATGCCGGGCAGTTAATAAACCTGGTTTTTTAACTTTTAATTGAGGAGATATATCATATTTCCGTTTTGGTTGTTTTGTTGTATTTTATTTTGATCTGTTCTGTCTTCATGTTTTGGTTCTATGCTTTCACTTGCTTTGCAATTGTCACTTATCCCTTCAGTTACATTTTGAGGACAACTTATAGCTTTAGCTACCCTTGTGTATCAAGACAGAGATTGTCTCCTTTGTTTTGGCATAAAACCAATTTGATGTTAAGCTCTGGAACAGGCATAACTTAACCTTTCATATTGTTGTCAAGAACTAGGACATGCGCTCGAAGATGTATCCGGCCTACTTTCTTGAAAAAATGTACACAGCAGAGAGAGGTGTGAAACCAATCCATATGCTCAACTGAATGGACGAAGATCCAACAAAGTTGGAGGTCTAATCATATACTTCCATTCTATTCATTTTAATGTCTAGTGCCGATGAAGATGAGAAAAAGTTAAAACCTTCTTGGTATTTTATTCACGAGAAGTAACAAACAAATTAACAGCTGTAGAACTTCATGCAACTACAAGAAGAAAGACATTGTAATCTTCATCTGCAATTGATGACATCAGACAGGCCCTGCAGCAATAGTATCTTCGAACCTGATTGCATTCTCTTTTGATACGACTCAGTCCACACTCTAATTATTGTCCTTTATAAGCCCCCAAACCTCATCCAACCGCCCAATATCACAGCTAGCAATAGCATATTACATTTGAACAAATTAATCAAGTTTTTCTAACCATGCCCTCAAGAACTTCCAGCCTCAAATTTTTCTCACTACTATTTTCTTCATTTGCCATTGTTCAAATGACAATGGTGGGAGACCGACATTCTTAACGACTTCGTAGCGCCTCCATGTGGACAACACATTTTGGGTGACGTGGAGCACCTGTGGTCGTTGGGCTTTCACACGTGGGCAACGTGGCTCTGATACCATGAAGAAAGTTGAGGTTTTACCCTAAAACCAATTGACAATGGGGGGAATAGCCCAACTCCTTATAAGCCCTTGCAAGGTTTTTTAACTTTCCAATATGAGACTTTTTACCTTCATATTCTCACAACAATGGCAATAAGCCAATAAGAAAAGGCCAAAAGCCCTTTTGTTTCATTTTTATGCCCAATAAATTTTAGCTAGCCTTGTATCAGTACAAAAATTTAATAATAATCTTTCGCTGGAAACTAGTCAACATCAAATGTAATGAACGAAGGCCATCTTTTCAGTCAAAGTGGATGAACATCCAAAAAAGAACAAGGTCCAAGCATATACTTCTATTCTAATATTAAATCTTAATATTGAATGTTGATCAGTTGATAAAGATAAGCAAAAGTTGTAACATTTCTTGGTTTTGTTTTCAAGAAATATAACAAATAAACAGCTATAAAACGGCAACTAAAACAAGGAAACATTACATAGTAATCTTCATCTCCAGTTCACATCAGCTGCTAGGCCTGCAGGAATACATTAATATATCCGAACTTGCCTTAAGTTTTCTTTAGATTTCACATAACCCTCACCCTATAAATATTGTCCTTGTAGAAGCATAAACATCTCATAACCTACCAATTTTATCG